TTGCGTGGGCGGGGGGGGTGGGGGGGGGGGGGGGGGGGGGGGGGGGGGGGGGGGGGGGGGGGGGGTGGGGGTGGGTGTGGGCGTGGATGTGAGTGTAGGTGTGGTTGTGGTTGTGAGTATTAGACTTCTCTGTTATCAGATACACACTGACACCCACACACCCACACCCGATTTCTAACAATCGAAAACAATGAGCTAGTTAAGGTTTACTTTGGCTGGAAGGTCACACCTTGCTCCCTGTATCTAGACTTCTGTACAAGATTTTCAAACTTTTGCAGCCTATGGCCATCCTTACAGGCTTAACTCCTGATTACAAGTTTAGAAAGTTTCATTCTATTTGCATGAAGTCGATGTAATTTTGGTACATTTTCGAAAAAACCACTCGATTAAGGATATGAAGACCTACAAAGGATCCATCTCATTTAAGATTTATGCACAGAATGTCGACGATCTCGCTCTGTTTGTGAATCAAACAAAGGCTAAGAATTGAAAAAGATTGTGAAACAACTTTTAGCTAAAGATTCAATTCCGAAGAAATTTTATTAAGAAATAGCTGTGTGACAAACCAAACAAATATGAAGTTCGAATGAAATATTTTGTGATGGATTCAAAGAGAAACTCAATCTCGAAAGAATTTCATGGATTGGCGAGTGCGTAGACTTCTGCTGCCGTGATTTCTCTATTATGAACGTAAATTTCATCGATGATTCCTTGAAAAGCAGCATTTGTAATATAAACACTTGAACAACCAAAACTGTATCCAATTTGTAACCAATTGATCTGACCAGAAGTTCCTGTATACGAATAATAACCAGTTGTGCCGAAATAAACTCCATTGACATACAATCGATATCCATTAGTAAGCGAGAATGTCCACGAGACATGTGTCCAGGTATTCAGCGTTATAAATGGCCCATAAAGAGCTGGCCAAGCATAACCTTGTGCAACTAGTTGGCCTGCATTACCAGTATATGTCCAAATGCCAAGCATATTAAAACATGAGCCACCATTGTAAGCTGTTGACATTTGAACAAATGTACAACTAGAATATGATGATGGACTTATCCACATTGAAATTGAAAACGGTTTATTGTAATAAACACCGAATCCGGCTTGGTAAAATCCATATGCTTGAAAATAAGATGATGAACCAGTGAATTGCAGTGCTTGATTAACGCGTCCGCTAACTGTTGCTGCATTTGTTGATGACCCAGTTAATCCATTTGGGCCATTATCATTAGTTGGACTAGGTAAATCAAATGAATAATAAGCAATCAGTGATGCAGCGGTTAAAACTTCTGTTGCAGATTTCGCTCGTGTTTGGATTTTAACATTATCTATATAACCATTTAAAAAAGTCGTTGATGGAAAATAAGTTGCAGAGCCGATTATAAATGTTCCATTTGTTCCTTGGTAAGCAGCTGAATTGGACTTGATATTATCTTGAACTCCATTTAAATACAATATCTGTTGTTGTGTAACGGAATTATATACAAAAGCGATGTGATACCAAGTATTAACTGTCATCGTTGTTAAACCACTGATATCATTCAATGTAAATCCGACATACAATTTGCTGGATCGTATTAGAAAATAAAAACATTGATTCGAACATGATGTACATTGACATTGACCCATAATACCATTGTCACCTGTCACAGTCATTGGATAAATCCAAGCTTCAATAGTAAAACTTGTTGAAGCAAGGCTCAAGAATGAAGTTGACACTTGAAATGATTGATTTTGTGCCGCTGTTACACTTAATGCACGACCTTGTCCCAAATATGGAATTGTACCAGAGTTCGGAGAATACGTTGCACCATTCACAAACTGACCATCGTAAACACCGTATGAATCAGTTGTTACATTATCAAAACTCCACCATACATAAGTAACAGTTGTACTTGCAGTTGTACTTGCAGTTGTTGTCGTGCCTAAATTGATCACTCAGAATGACTAACGGAATTTCTCCAATCAAAATCAGAGATCTGAGTTCAAATGATTGGACGAAAGAACTCAATTTCGTCTATGAAAAAATATTTTAAGAAAGTAAAATCTAAGTGATTGCTGTGTTGATCAATCAATTATATTCAGTAAACGTCGTCTCGTTCTCTATTTGGAACTCGTCCACACCTGATCGTATCGCTCAAGGCTTTAGTCTTCTTGACGTAGTATCTCTAAGAAACACGTCAACATCAAATATCGAACTTTCTCTCTTCGATGTAATGGAATTTGATCGATTTCTTCGTTCGGCTCCATCGATTCAACGGAAAGCCCAAAAAGTCATTTTTACTTGTTTTCTATAAATCAACGATTTGATTGAATCGACGTAGCTGAACAAGAAAACAACTAAAAGAGCTTATTTTGTAGAAACTTGTTAGCTCTATCATTTAATCTAGTTCGAACTCAATTTGATTGATGGATTCTGTTCGCTTTTCTACGTTGATGCATTTCTTGCAACATTGTTAGAAAATCTTTAATCAATTCAATGAAAGTTGTGTTTTTACTCTTTTGAGAGCGTCGATACGAAACAGTTCGAATTTGCTCATCTATGACACAACAGAATTTTTTATGTTGAAATTGATTTAATCGAAGTTTTTCTATCAGAAATGCATAAATTCAAACGATTTGTTTTCCACGCATTGTTAAATAACAAGCGAAACAGTTCGATTCGAATCATCAATAAATCATTTCTCAATGAATCTTTCCGAATTTCATTCTCAACTTGTTATCCAATTGAAATAAAAAATCAAGCTTAAAGTATGAAAAAGTTATCGTTTCTACGAGAAATCGATATTTCTGATTTCGTTCCAGTTTTAAGGTGTATTTCATCTCACAAAGTTGTTCGAATAATAAATCTATTCAGCTTCACTGACTATTATCAGATACAAAATGCGGAAAAATCTGTTTTCTGACAGCAAAGACTCTAAAAAGCAAACAAAAAAGTTGATTTTTTTTATTCAATGACAAAACATCGGAATTTGAGATAAACACTCGACACTAGGTCGCTGTCAACTGAGAAAATCAACGACTCGATTGCGTAAATCCATCTCAAGTGATGAAGGCAATGAGAGTGACTTTCAGATATTGAACAAGTAAATCTCAAAGATCGATTCGAAACCTATGCGAGTTTCTTTGATTATTCTGTAGAACACAAGTTGAAAAGGTTCTCTGGGAATTTATAAAAGGTGAAGAAGAGAGTTATTACTTGAGCGTCGAGTGAGCAAGACGGCCACAATAATAACCACGATAATTACAATGCAAACAGCAGCTATTATCACACCAACAGTGACTTTCTTTCGTGTCGACCATCTACAATTGATGAGAAACAAAGGAATTGATTTTCACAAGAGAATTATTGATTTACTTCGTTGTTGTTCCAATCTGATGTGAATTATTTGATTTCGTTGATATTTCTGGAGGGATTGGTGACGAAGAAAGACTCTAGATTTGTCATTCTGTATCCCGAAAAACAATTCTTTCTTTTTCTACTTACATGTCCAGAATCATCATACTGAGGCGTTGATCTGGGTATACGAATCGTTCGATGAACTGGTTGAGGAACATAAGGGTCACCTGTGCTCGTTGGCATTCTTGGGTTTGATTTCACTTTCGAATCACGATCACGATGATGACGACGAAACAATTATGAAGACTCTACTAAGAAATCTCAAACTCGAATATGAACTGATTTTAGTCACATGCTTTTGAAAAACAACAAAGCTTAAAGGATAATGTCGACAACGAAAGACTTTTCACAATATTTCTCAGCCGCAACTTCTCACAGCAACTAATTATCTCAACGGTTCGATATTTAAAAAGCTTTTGATTATTAAAACGGTTCCCAATTGTCTATAGAAGAATTTCTTATCGGAGAAGGAGACATTTTGAAAAGAGAATTATATTTCTTTTCTGAGTTGCTTATCTCAAACATGGTAATTTTCATTTTCTCCAATTAAAACATCGCTAAATGAATTCATAAGCAACGAGTCTGAATTAAATACGATCCGTTGAATATGTAACATTTTATTACAATAAATTAGTTTATTACCAAGTATCTTAATCATCTTGAAGAATGAAATTAAAAAAGAATGGGAGAAATTTAGTGTTTTCTCATGCCAATGAATAATAGATAAAAGCTTGTTTGTGCAGCGCAGTTAATACTGAAATGTGGAACTAACGTATATCGTTTAGCCTCATTAAATTAATATAAAATATTTTTTAGGCGCTCTATTTTTTGTTTCGCATTGTTGCTATTTTCTCGTTATTCATCATTGTAGTATTTTGTTTTCTTCTTAATTTAACATTGTTAGTTTTCTGATCATTGACTTGTTACGTTGATTACATGACAACTGTAAAAAATCGGGGCATCACTGTTCCTCATCGTTGACATCTTAGATATAAATTGTTACTTCCATAAAAGTCGAAAACTATATCATTTAAACATTCAAAGAGGAATTCCATTTGCTCAAGTTTCGACGAAGGATTTAGAATATTCTAGACGTTTCTAGAACGGTCAATGCCATATTGTTGATTCCGTTCCAGTCCTTTTCCCTCTATTACTAATGTCTGTGATGCAAGGGAGAAGTGGGGGGGGGCGAAGGGGAGAGAAGCCAGAAAACTTCGATCTAAAACTTATACTCATCATTCTCTTCTAAAATATACATGAATTTCATAAAATACTAACACGATTAAAGTTTATATTTGATGAAGGTGGTAATCAAATAGAGGAACACTGATTACTTGATTTGTTTTTTTCTATTTGCTGAAGTTTTATTGTTTCTCGAGCGGGGCGGCCTGTTTCGAGATGTGCTTTTCACCCTATTGCTAGATGAATAATAGAAATTTTCGTTTCTAAATAAAAGTTTTTAGTGCACTTAAAATGTAGTCGAAACCAATTCATGATGAATTATACTCGGTTTTCAGCAACTAATCTTCATCTTATAATGCAGTTGCTAAATGATCAATGGGGTCTTGGGAACGACGAGAAGAGATTGAGGACCAATCACTACTCAGTCCATCTATAATCGAGCCACTATCTGAAAATCTTAAAGAGGGTCGTTATCTCATTGATGCTAATCCTTAGCTTCCGATTGTTGAAATACAAGTGGAGATTGATGTGAGTTGTGGCACTATTCAATGAATCTTTTCTGATCTTCTAAAACTGAAAAATATTAGTGCGCGCTGAGTGCTCAACTTACGGACTTGTGCTCAATGAGGCGAACGGGCTCGGCTTTGCCCGGCAAACTTGATGAAACTCCAGCAAGAAACATGGCGATTATGTTATGTAGTGACAAGTGATGTTATGACCGAAGTGTTCCCCTTCGCTCATAAGACGGAAAGAAACGAATAATAACACTCCTTTCTAGTACAGTGGTAATACAACTGCCCGGAAAGCAGAAGACGTGGGTTCAATTCCATCGGGAGGAGTATTCTTTTGTTCCGTTCTGTAGTCATACCATCACGTTGCTGCCTCACTAATAACAAACTCGTAACAGGTGACGATGCATGGTTTTCTCATAAACAAATTGGTCAGAAACCATCGAATGCTTCCTGAACCCTAATTATAGAAGCTCCATCGACTGTGGTTCGACGCAGTCTCTATGCTTCAAAAACCCTATATAACCTATTTTTCAAAACGACTAGCTCTGTGCTAATTCATCGTATTGATCAAGGCGAAACTATCGATCATTACTATTACATCAGTAATTACTTGGAAGCTGTTATCGAAAAATTTAGAACCAAAAAAAATCAACGTCGCGTACACATGTACTAAAATGTGTTAAACTATCTCCAGTAGTGTCGAACTTGAAACTTGAATTTAGTCAAAGACAGTGAAGATTTAACAGATAAACCTATTCTACCACGACATCGAAGACCACCAAAACGTTATGATTCAAATCCAGCTGTTGTAAATTTTTCTAGTTGTGGAGAATTTTATCGCCAACAATATATTGAAGCACTTGAAATTGTTGTTAATATGTTAAAAAACCGATTTACTCAAAAGAACTTTAAATTATTATGTAATGTTGAGAAATTTATTATTCATGTAGCAAATAATTCACTTGATGATCCAAATGATTGTGTGCAATCAATTAAGAATTTTTGTTATGGTGATATCGATGTTGAAAGATTGAAAGGTGAAATACTTATGATTTTTGATTTTTTTCAATCGGTAATTAAAACAAATCAGATGAACATAAAACGAATCACAAAAATTTCAACAATTTGTGAAATTTTAAATACATGTGAAATAGGTAAACAAGCGTTTAAAGAATATCATAAATTAATCAAACTGTATTTAACCATTCCGGTTACGACGGCCACGACCGAACGTACATTCAGTACATTAAATAGATTAAAAAATGCAATTCGTTCTTCGATGACTCAATCACGTCTCAATCATTGTTTATTACCACATATTTATAAAGAAAAACTTGATGAAATTGATGCAAATCAAATCATGTCCAAATTTATATCATCAAATGAAAAAAGGCAAACTTTTTTTGGTTCAGTGCTCTAGTGTAAAATAAATGGTTCTCATATTTTTTGAAATTTTTGTCTTTCTATAAAGATTTAAAAATCTTGTTAGTCAAGGATGAAATAAGTTAGCGCATTAATTTTTTGATAGCAAAAAATTTATATAGTCTAAAAGCGGCTTATCACCTAAAATTCACACACACTGTCTCATGCTAATATGTAAAAAGCTATTTTTGAGCCTCACCTGATTTCAACACGTTTCGCCGCCCCTGGTCAAGAGTATCCTACAGTTGAAACCACAAGTTCTTAAGCGCTATCATACGGAGGTACTCAACAGTTCCCAAGGGCTACACCATAGAGGGAGCTGCAAGTCTTCAAGGGCTATCGTGCGGGGTTATTTATAAATTCTCAAGAACTATTCTAGGGGCTAACCTTCATTGTTCAAGTGGTATCTAAGGGGATACCCTTGTCTCTTCATGGGCTACGCTATTAGGGCACTCAAAGGTTGGTATGTGACAGCTCCTACTTGAGAGCTCGCATGATGTGGAGCTGTTCAAAATGTCAGCTATTGGGAGCTGCGGCTGCTCAACAGCTCAGTTGGCACAGGCTGGAGAGAATGACTGGTTCTTTCCATATGAACTGTCTTTAACTTTTCTAGGGCTACCTACATGTGGTTCCTAGCACTTCCATGGATAAGCATGTTACCGCATCAATTCAGCTTTGAGGTAGTGGTGTTGAGCGATATTGGCATTGGCCGATATCGGTTGTGATGGGGATAATGCTGCCACATTCCAGAGGTCTATGCTAAAAAGAAGGAGTTCTTCCGAAAATAGCAAACTTAGAGATAGTTTTGCCAAAGGACATCGGAGCCGCTAGCTCAATCTGCAAGCAGATGCTGTATGTTGCGTAAATGCTTCTTTCATTAAAGGAGAGGCTGTTTTTAGAAAATGACGATTTGTTATAAAGTTTGACGAAAGGGGGGCTGTAGACCGGAGAATCGGTCTCTCGAATGAGATTCTCAAAATTGTTTAGTTGACTTTTAGACGGAACAAAGGGTGTCAGAGAAAATAATGATCTAATATTCAATTTGATCATAGGTGGCCGCCTAAACTTTACTTGGCGGATAAGTCGAGTATACAATTGCAAGGATCTCATTGCAGATTCAGAAACTCCGGCTCCAAATACCTTTGCTTAAACTTCATAAAAATCGTTATACTCTCAAAAATTCCTAGATTTAATGAAAAAACTAGTACAGAACGTTCAGTATGCTATTTCTAACTGAGATTCCCTGGCAACGAAACCACTCGTTGGAATTTTGTGGAAAATTCATTGTTTTCTGGGAAACTCCTCGTCTTTTAACGAAAAAGTTAGAAACACGAGAGTACGATTGGCATCAATCGCCATACTGGCCCATACTGATAACATTCAAGAGCCGTGCCTCACAATTGTTGACATATAGTGCCATGTCTATACATAGACACTCTAGAGATGGCTCCTACGTAGCCGTAGAAAACTTATAAGAAAGCTCATAGGGCAAGAGGGAATGATATCTTGTAGTTCATAGGGACTGATTTGGAGCATAGCTAGTGCTCACTTGAGCTAACCAATTCAACAGATATAGCTCAAGGAACCCGTCCACCTGGACATATCACACACTTATTCAGGAATGCCTGATACAATAGCCCTTGAGAACTTGTGACTGCCATCTATTGGATAGCCTTAAGGATATGATTTGATTACTTATGAATATTCCCCTAGGAGAAGGCTTGACGACTTATGTGTTTGAATCTGGATGAGTGAGTATGGATATAGGTCTTGTCAAGATAGTCACACCCACACGTGCTGATAAATAAGAGCGTTTCTATAGATCCCGCTCATAAAAACAAGAGTTGGTCAGATGACCCCGCTCATAGAAAAAGAGATGATCATCGTCGATTAGAGTCAGCTCACCCAGCTCATTGAGCTGTGAACTCTCATACACCTAGTCTTGAAAGCGGTTAGAGAGTTCGAATGAAGAGTGTGAAAAGTTGTAATCGGTTGTCTTCTTGGTATATGACATCCGTCTCACTTTTGTGATAATAAATATAGCCTTTGAAAGTTCAGAAAGCAAATATATGAGATGTCAAAATGTTGAGTATGGGGTGTGCTACGCTCAATAAGGTTTAGAGTGTGCTCCGTGGGATCGTAGCGCTCAGGAGTATATTGCCCTCGTTTGTGAACATTGCCAACTGGTATATGATAGATTTCTTTCTGAAGAGAAAAGCCATGGAGGAATATATATATACTACCGGAGAGTTATGGTTCATAGATATTTTTGTTCTAAATGTCAGAGAGAAGTTCAAACTCAGAAATGCGTGTTGAGTAGTAAACATGTGCAGCGTTCGTCTATGATTGTTGTCTAGCTGTTCTAGTGTCATATTGCTCATAGCCGATGAAACGAATGGCTCCACGACGTGTGGATAGCAACCGAGCTTTGAAAACCCTCCCAAATATGTAGAGCCAATGCGATTCGAACCAGATCGAAACAATCGGTAGATCCTCGGCATACCTATCACGATAATGCGCGCTTTATCGATAGAAGACCTAGGTTTCCTTTCTCAACATTATGTATCACGATGTATTTTTTCGAAACGCCCGCAAATTTTCTGTCTCTTGAAACCGACCGAAACAGGGCGACTTCAATGCGCTCTTATAGTGTCCATACGCACAAGCCACCTCCCAGGCAGACAAACTTTTGAGAAAACGCGTTTAAACGCATAAAAGTTGGCCTAAAATCAACAAAAAGTGGATGTTTTTGGCTCACACTTGAGGTTCCCGACTGTCAGCCAAAAACGCCCATTTTTCGTCTTTTGTGTGCGTTTAAACGCGTTTTGAGACAATAAACGCGTTTACACGTTTACAGAAAAGAGAAAAAGTGGTCGTTTTTTATACTCCAGATGCTCGATCATGATTACAGTCACGTTTCTTGAGCTGAAAAAGCAGAATAACTTTATTCTTTCTTTTGTATGCGTGTAAACGCGTTTTCAGACAATAAACGCGTTTAAACGCACAAAAAGGACGAAAAATTGGCGTTTTTGGCTGACAGTCGGGAACCTCAAGTGTGAGCCAAAAACGCCCACTTTTTTTGTTGATTTTAGGTCAATTTTTGTGCGTTTAAACGCGTTTTCTCAAAAGTTTGTCTGCTTGGGCTGTACTATCGAGACAACCTGCATCTGACTCACTTCTGAAACAGACTAGTTTATTATACATCGTCCTTCAAAAATTTTTATTTCTAGTATAAATTATGGAATTGCTTTTGTCTCAGTGAATTTTAATCCTTTTTATTATTCAATTCGAATTTCTGTGAAAAACATTCTCTGGAACTGTTTACAGTTGGAACCGCAAGTCTTAAGTACAACTAAAAGTGCATCGTGGTTCTGCATCTTGTTCTAACAAGTACTCCGGTATACTGGTGGCACTACGAATATACGGGACACACGTCACACAATCGGGTGATTTCTGTTATGTCAAACTGAACGACTGTGGTAGCTGAAGTAATTACTGTTCACTGAGCGGATGGAAATCTCGCGATATCTTCAGTATCGTGATCAGTGCATCCTATGATTAGATAGCAAACATCTGGACTCATTACACCAGCATCAACCCTATATCGTTCCTATCTGATTTCAGCATTGTGATCTTTGCAAAATATCGAGAGCAGTATATTTTCACACATATGTTGGTCTTGTTTTGTAGCTCCCAAAAAACTTTCTCTACTCTGAAAAAACGGCTCCGATGTCGTGATTAATGGTGGAGATCTGGTGGACACCGCGGTCAAATCTTATCCCATGGCTGTAGGACTATAGCTGTGTGTACTTTAAAAAATGTCGAAGGCAGCATATTTTCATTCATATTTTGGCATAATTTTTGTAGCTCTCAAAAAATTTCATCTACCCCGAGAAAAAAACAATGGTTTTGCATTGAAAACTCTCGTGATTATGGGCACTGCATCATGCTGTTACAGACAGAAATCTACTCTCAATTGGCTGATGGGCTATCTGATAGAGTCGACTATGAATTATTCAGGAAAATCATTCATGTGTATCGAGAATGGCTTAGTGGTGAAGAAGGGACTAGCATTATTTTTAAGATAGTACTGATTTTCACAGTGGTTTTCAAATAGGGTTGATTTGTGGACAAACTATCCAGCGTCCTTTCATATTTGAATTCTGCTCAATAGAGCTGTGCAAGAAGCATTGTTGAATGAAGTTATCTCATGTGTTCCTACCTGAGTTTTTTGAAAAATATCACGAAACGAAATCAAACAATCACACACCCTCTCTCACTCTGTTTATTGTCTGTTACTCTCGCTTACTTGTATACTTTTGCTAATGGAATGAAATGGATGGAGTAACGAACAACATCATTTTTAAGTGAATTCCCGAGGCGGTTGAAAGCAATTTTCTTTTCACATTGACATCAACAAATATGCAGTTGCTATTCACTTTTGCATATTCAATTACGGTACGACCACAATGACAGTTTGAAGGAGGACGACTGGATATGCAGGTCGAAAGTTGGGTGTGGATGTAGTTGCGCTGTACTTAAATCAATTGAAAAACAGATCGAATCATAAGCGTATCATATAAATCAATCTGCTGATCCCAACTGTTGTATTTCAGCAATTCATCAAGTTGAAAATTAAATAGAATATTATAGTAAATCCTCTCTAATTTGAGCACCATAGGGGCTGAAAAAGTGCTCAGTTTACTGAGGTGCTCATTATTGAGAGACTTTCGGATGTTTTGTTTTCAAACGATGGGGGGAGGGGGGGGGGTAATTTACAATCGTCTCTCCATGTCATAAAATGACCTTTTTTTTCTTCTCTCCAATAATTTATTTATTCAAATAATCATCTATCTTTCGCGAACGATAAATTTTCACCACGAAAAATATATTTCCTAAAATAGCTATGAAGAGTGCATTGAGCAGAAATTTTCGAATCAAGATAGATGTTTGTAAGCTTGTATTCAGTTTCATTTACAGCTTGATAAAGTTGAGGAT